GCCTTGGTATCAGGTAGTTCCTCGTGATATCCATTCTTTGATGCGGCTTCAACGGGGCACGCGTCACTTCTTCGAGCAGTTTGAGCAGGTGCTGTCGGTGGTTGAAGACCCCTTTCCCCTTGGAGGTGGAGGGAATGCCCAAATATGTTACAGTGTCTATCGGACCCAGAGGAGTGATTAGTTCCTCGGCAAAGCGAAATGGTTCGACTGAGACTGCTGTTGCCCGATGTTTCCTGTCCCCACAAATAACCATCACTTTAGTCTTTCGGGCGTTTATTTTCATGCCAGCTCTTCCCAACTCGATCGCTACCTCTTCTCTGTTTCCTAAATAGTAATTCAGCCTGGTAGAACCTCCTATTTCTGTTGCTACGGTATTTGGCAGCGTCACTCAACCCACCTCTATCCTTTCCGCTGCATAACCTGTTCTATGACTAACCTGGACCAACTCGGTATTTTCTTCTTTTGCGTTTCACAGCGTGGTATCATGATACGTGTTTACGCATCTTTTTGTATCACCGTTTGCAGCTTCAAGGTCTTACGATAACTTAGTTGCCTTGGTGGATGTTGTCCGTATCGAATCCCGTTAATCCATATTATAATTAGCCACGTAGAAACGAACATTCGCGGTCACCGCTTTCACTCAACCTCTATCCAATCTAATATAACCGGTTGAAGGAGACCAACAGTTTCCAACGGAATATTGATCTAGGGACATAAATGTTGCCACACGCAGCATTCCTCTAACTGAGAACCCTCCGGAAGGGTACCACTTTCCTTGTGCCTCCACAACAACTCTCTTTTCGACCAAGATATAGATTCTGTGCCCCCCCCCCTAATGTAGGGCCACTCCATCGTTTCATTCCATTTTTCTAACCATTCGTATAATCGTTCAGGTGTCACAGCATTTTAATTCCAATTACTGAAAGTCCATGAAATGAGACGAAAAATCTGAGAGAAACCGGTGGATAACCGGAGAGTGAGTGTCTAGCCGTTGATGAAGCGAGTCTCTGGTTACCCAGCCTCGCACAAGACACGAAATGACACGACTACGACTGGTTTAACGTTCCCCGCCAAGTTATGGCTTGTCCACTCCGCGTCTCCCTCCAGTCAGAGCAGGTTTCAATAAACAGGGCACGTTGAGGCAGTCGGTTACCTGGTGTACGAACAACATGACTGATTCCACTGAGCATGTCCATCCCTATCACACCATGAATTACATGTGCAGCCTTTTTTTGTTGCCGAAATCTACTCATCGTTATTCAGTATTGCTGCTTCGGCTCTCCAACGGCTGCAGGTGAAGTCGATTAACACCATTCTAATAAAAAGGAAACTCGTGCGATTTTTACAAAAGAACGGCGGATCCCAGTGAAGAAGTTGAGGGATGAGTTCGAGGACACAACCGTGTGCGAGCGTGCCTGTGTACCGCACAGGGTTGTATAGCAACGAGGGCGAGTACCATACACCCTCCAGTGTTCAAGGGAATTGTTCTCATTATCCACCCTATTCACACTAGACCACAATATTCCCTATTCCTGGTGAACCCCCAGGTTGGACGATTTCACTCTAATCTGATGGGATATTTTGACATTTGACAGTGAATAAAGTACTTGGTGACTTCTTTCGACAATAGCCTGCCATTATTCACTTAGTTGCTAATAGATCACCACAAATAACCCACTTCACCTATATATGTTGCATCCCTAATGGAATGTTTTTGCTTGTGCAGTGATGCCATGCTATTCTCGTCGTACTGCTTGCGGCCATCTCGTTTCAGGGTCATCATGTGGTCTACTGGAATTGGGTAGCGATGTGTCACTGTCACATTTTCGCATAGTTCTCTAGTTCTAACACACCTTGTTGTGTACCGTTTCTTTTGTTTCCCCGGGGTCAACACACAAACACTTAGATTGTACGATTTCCAGCTTTGCGGGATGAAATTGTGCGGTTGGTCAATATGCGCCTTCGTGAGTTAGAATCAAGAACGAGAGATCAAATACAAACACTGATCAATTTTCAGCTGGCCTATACGAACACCAATCATGAGGACTTCATCGGTTTTCGAAAGTAAGTCTTTCTCATTCTGGTTGATCGCGGAGCCCTCAATCGAGCAAAATTATGAGTTATTCATTTACGATGGTCAATGTTGCCGGGTCTAGACTCAAACGCACCTTGTGGTCAGGCGGATTTTACCGGTTTAAGAAGCTGAGGTAACGAAGTCCTGATTAACTTGTGTCCTCAAACGGGGGACATTTCGTCTCTGTCCGAAGATTACTTGGAATTGCTGTGTTCCTGTTCAACACTAGGGACCATGGCCGGACGTGCATTAAAGCTGTCAGAATAAAACAGATAGGAAGAACGGCCTTTTTCGCTGGCGCAGCTGTAAAACCCCGTCGATCACATTTTACTTGCGATCGTCGAAAGTGCCGTTTTTTATCGCTGAACCTTACCGTGGGAGGGTGGCTACTAACCCCGTTGTACATTCACAAACAAGTTCATATAGAAACTAGCAAACTTAATACAACAACTGTGGGTGGGATTTCCACTTTTCTACGGGTTATATACATGACTGTCAGATCTTTATCTTGAAGTTCTTGATCTGAAGTTACAGACTCTTACGTTTATTAAATGTTACGAACGGTAATTGCCTGCCGGATAGCTTGTCTGTTTGAAAGTGTTCCTCTAAGTGACCATTCATTTGCGAATTAGATTGGTGGCAATCGGTGCCTCAGCTGAATATCTAGTTCATAATACTGCTTATCTGAACGTGGTACACGAATGCCCCTCACGTTTGAGTTAGTATGGTGTTCGAGATATCGAAGTGTATTCTTTTCATCCCACGTACTACTTAAAAAATTTCTGCACAAGTATTCAGCTACCTTGTGAGTGGTGTGCTGTGTAAAGGTCAGGGTAGAATTTTACAAATCTGATGTTTGGGATAATATAGATAGTTAGTCTAACCATAACGTTTCCGTTGTGACTGGTTGTTCGTCTGAATTCACCCAGTTCTGGACTCGTTTGGGAACTCCAGTGTCTGTGGTTTCATCTGACCATTATATTCGGAACATCTAACGCACTCTGATATGCCGCCCGTACGACGTACTGGATGTTATTGTACAACCTGGTAAACTGCAACCTTGGCGCCCACGTGCAGGTCTCGGTTTCTGCAAACCGCATATGGTACTTACTTGGGCGATCCGCGCGCTCACTTCAGGACTCACTTTCAATTTTACGGAGACAGTGCTGAGAAAATAACATAAATCTCAACAGCACGCTACATCGTTTGAATGCAGAGTGTCTATTGTGAACCTTAATCCCGTTGGTAAAAGACGTGTCTGGACTAAGGCGGGGCTGACCAGGCTCTTTGCCATCCCGCCTCCAAGTATACAAATGAAGAGTTCGCTAATAGCAACATACAGACTTCTCGTTCATGTAGCCTCACTTTAGCAATGAATATATATATATATATACCGGCTTGCTGTTATTTGTCGGTTCACTATAGAGAGCCTTGTTTGGGAACCTTTGTTGTTCTCAGCAAACACGTGCTTCATAGTTACTTCTGCAATCTGATTGTCGCGTCTGTCCTTGCTGTCAGCGATGCCGATTGCCCTGGAGATGCTTGGTTTTAATCGGTCGAAGCACCTCACTTTCTGTGTCGAACCTAAGCTAGCTTTGTGGAACCGGTGAATTGTGTTTGATATGAATGAGTAGAATATCAGGTGATCTCACGCTATGCTGTCAGCTGGCCTTTGTTTCGCACACCTGCTGCCCATCCGCAAAACATACCGAACACAAGTCACGTGACGGCTGCCATGCCGCAGCTTGGTTGTGTGTGCTGCTATTTCTGTTTGTCTACGTGCTGTCTTGATCGGTTAGTTGTTGCTTGCGTAGAAAAGATTTCTAACTGGGTCGTACGCGTTCATCAGTTTTGTTTCAGTGAACTGTTGTACTTGGCGGTCCAAAAGATAACTCAGACACAACACTCATTATTTAAGGTTGCTAAAAATCGGACAACCCACCATATCCCTTCCTGATGCTAATCGAGTTCCCATCACCCTTATTTCCTATTGGAGTACTCAATTGTGCGTAAATGGAGTTGTACACTCATTTTCAAATTAACATGGTATTAACACCAGACAACTGAAGACCAGCTATATCTCTCGTTAGGATAGAGGAAAAGGGAAAATAGAGAAGAACGCAGAGTATGGCCACACGGACGTTTTATTTCTTATGGGTAGTAATCTGTTTTCGTTTACCTGAATAGAGTTGCCAACAACTTTACTAATTATCAACATCACGAATCAAGACATGCGTGCGTTTGTATTAGCGGGCCGTAGGACTTTGGTTACCTCACGAGTGTGTATTTACTTATGCTCAGCTGCTTCGCATGCTCGTAAGATTTCTTTGTCTTATTAGCGTGACACCGAGTAGAAATGATGAACGACGTGAAGTGGAAAGACTGTAGTCATGTGACTTGTATTATGTTAGCCATCGTGACATACCGCGTGTTTCATGGCAAAGATGTCAAGAAAGAATATGATGAGAGCCCAGGATAGCGTGGTTAATGCCTTCTGGTAGGTGGCTTCTCCACCCGAGATGAATACAATCAGTGGTTCCCCCAAGTTCTTCGGAATAACATCTCGATTACTGAAATACCGCCCCAACTGCAGGCCTAGCATTTCATAAGGAACGTGTATTGCTCACGGTTGAGAGCTATTAACGGCTGTTCAGAATGATGGAGGCGTAGGGCAGCTTCAGTTGTTCGACCTAATTTCGTATCCGCTTGGCATTACTTCGGAACCTTCAAATTGAAAGGGTATGCACCGACGTTTCGATTGTTTGCTGCTGAAGCGTCCCGACCCACAAGGTGAAAGCTGATGTGATTTAACGAAGGCCGTGAGCGCTTGGCCGAAATACCTTGTTGTTGCGACGTTTGTGAGGCCCTGTTGGGTCTCGTTTATAGGTCAAGTGGGAATACACGGTGACCGGACGCGTATTCGAATGCTGGTTCGCTCAACACAATCGCAACGGAAAATTTTAGAGTGCCATCACTGAGATGGACATTCAGATGTCAGTATGGCATACTTCCATCCCAGCTTCACTCTATCGAACAAAATCTCCAAACTTCAATCAATGAACACTGATGCATTCCAAATCCTCTACGTTTTAAGGATGTTATGTGATATCGGGTTGAATCAGTAAGGACACTGGATTTTGGTTGGAGAAGAACAACTGGATTAATTGGAAGAAGTGTGGAGCCCGTTGAGTAGTCATCGTTTCATAAGGACTTGGTAAATAATGGGTAGTCTTTAACTGGGCAGTCTTTCACTTTTGACACAAAGGCTTCGTCAGGCCAAGTGAACAGGTCACCAAGTTGAAGAGGTTTTTTAGACAGACAGAAAACCAACCCGTCAACCACACTCACTGTCAAGACCCTTTAATTGACATTCAACACTGATGTAGTGTGCTAATCTGAAAAGTTAGTTCTTTGCCTCCTAAAACCTGGCCTAATTGGTGAACTGCTCACTTGTCTCGATGTAAATTTTGTGTCAAAAGCAAAAGGTTGCCCAGTTAAAACTTCCGGTTTTTTTACCAAGCCTTTGTGAAACAGATGGATTTATTTCGCCCCAGGAAACTTATCTGAGGGGGGGGGCAGAGTATATTCCATCTTCTTTGACTGTAATGATGAAGAGGAAAAATTGGACAAAAACTTGAAGTCATTGGTATCGGGTGGGCGCTGACGTAGTTTGCTGAAGTAAACCAGTCTAGTAGTCGAAGCTGGAGTGGGCGATAGAATGCGAGTTTTTGGTCAATCATCCATAACCGGCAGCGAAATCCGAGGATTATTACGATCAATTGAAGCTGAATTCGATTGTTACAATAACCAGAACTTGATGGGGCATCCCTAGGAGGATACTCACATGTACTTTCGCAAGTCAGTGCACTGTTGAACACAGCTACAACTTGAAGAAATGCGCAATAAATCTTGCATGTCCGATCGTTGACAGTAGAATACTGAAAATGGCTTTACCCAGTATTCGTGACTGTTCCCGAAGTTTTCCCTAACATTCTGTGTTTGTTACCAGGACGAGGTATTGTGTTCACCAGTAGACAGACAAGCAGAGAATCACACGTAACTGAAGCACCCTCACTCCAGGTGGCCTCCCGCCACCAGCTCATCGCGATGTCAGACCTTTGGACTGACTCACCCTCGAGTGTCTGTCTGTTGCCATCGCACCCATCGTACTAGCGATCTGTGTCACCGTGTTGTGTCAAATGTAACAAAATCCCGTGTAGCAGATCTTACTCGAAATGTTTATTTGAAATCAAAACGATTTTTATGCGATATGTTTTATCTGCTGCATGGTGCTTTTTTTCGTCCCGTGGACTTTCCAGAAAAGGTTTATAGTTACTCCACAGGAAGAGGCAGCCGTTTAGCTGGTAGACTGGGCGGTAGTATTGCAGTGGGGGTAGAAAATCCAACTTGTGTCTTCTACTCCAAGTACGATAGTCATCCCAAACATTGACCACTAAATTGATGTGACCTGGATGAGGGGAAGGCAACACCCGATAATGCGAAAAACTATCTGTGTACGCTCCTCGAGTTTGCATAACAACTTAATGGTACACCAAAGGGTGGATTAATAATGTGACCTCCCCTTACATCGCCTGTAGCATGGGAACCCTCCCGTTATGAAGACCACTATGAAAACATTCGCCATGGTAAAAGTTGGGGAAACCTCGTTAGGAAGCCATAACCTTACAAACGTCATTTGAGTTTGAACCGGGAATCTTCACCTTAGTTCGAATTCGTGCGATGGCAGCATCAAAGAACAGTCTTGTTCAGGGTTCTACATTATAATATCCGGAGGTTGGAAACATTGTTGTGCAGTCTCAGCTGTCCATCTCTAGTTGGGCTACTCTCTGAATCCTAAAGTGCATTTCAATTGTAAGCCCTCACTCAGGAGGGACCGCTTTTGGGCAGTCCTTCAAATGATCTAAAGACAGGGGACAAATGAATCCTTCCAAAGAGGTCACTTTTGTTCAGTCTTTTCGAGTGGTCTTTATAGAGCGGGAAATCGTAGTATATCCATTCCCTCTTTAGATCTCGTCTACAGAGACTCAATTTCGTTGCTTATTCTCTGATACTCACAAAAAACGGACCATAGTTGGTCTATCTTTAAATGTGATCTTTATAAAAGTAGGAAATTGTAACACTTGCGTCCCACCAACATAAACTCCATGTTGCGAGACTCCTAATCACTTAGGAAGTATAAGGAAGAGATGGCTCAGTAGTTAGACAGCGAATTTACCGGAAGGTCCCTGGTTCGAACCCGACCTCTGCATCTCGACTTCTGTCTGGGCTTGGGCAACCGGGCAGTATCCCAGCCCTTGTTCATCCTTCAGGTCGCATGGCAGCTAGGCAGCTAGGTGTTCAGACACCTAATTAATGTTAACACACATGAAAGCCCAGTGCACAACTGTTGTTGCCCCACAAAGATGTGAAAACTGTTGTTTGTTGGAGTTGGGGAGTTGGTCGCTCAGAAGACCTCTATTTACTTGCAACTATGGTATTTGTATTCAAGTGACATCTAGTTTCGTTTATGAAGTTGACGGTTTGAGTTGTCATACTTACAGGTTCACGCTAACCGTTATTGCACTTTCATATAGAATACTGTTCACATTCATCTTCTCTCAGTGAAATGGGTCTGTGAATCATATTGCTTAAGAGCGTGTAAACAAACTGTTTATTGCTAACTGTTGCCTACTATTATCGAATCACACCTGTCCACCTATAACAGTTTCAGTGCATACAGCCATGTTCTCCGCGGTTTGCGCTTGCTCGTTTGCCCGTGTTAGGCTTTCATAAGACCTTCATGGTCGCACAATGTCGCGGAATGGTGGAGATGAATGAACGGTAGTCATGCGATCACCACACACCCGATGTGTCGACGTAGCGTTTCCGACATAGACGAACGTCATCAGTATCACGTGCACTATCCGAAGAATGAACTTATACACCCTTTCTGGATAAGTGGTATCGTTCAGTGCATGCAATCCTAGAACGAACCGCTGAAATTCTCGAGTGAATGATCTTAGGGAAGGTCACACTCCTAATAGATTTTTTGAGGGGGAATTGCGTTACTTGCAGAGGAATGGTCTCTCTTGAGGATGACCGTCTATAAGAGCACAATTGCATAATTGTAGTGTATACGTCCCACCGGCTCTGATTCCACTACTCACATATTACGTATAAAATGGGTGAGGGGTGATGGTACCGTAGACTGTGCACTAGAGTGATGAGCTGGAAAGTATGAAAACTCTACTGGACTACACAAAATCTAAAGATTTCACACTGCATGGAACGAACGGCGTGTGCGGCTGATAGTTAAACTTTACTGCGCTTCACACGTTAGGTTCAACTTTTCGTATGTACATTATTTGGTTCCTGCATCCTAGTAAGCTACCGTGATGGAATTCATTGAATCACCATAATCCTGAATGACGGAAAGCCTCTCTTGAGATGGGTCCATTAAACACTGTAGTGTTTAAGTTTATGCAGCTGAAAGTCATGTTAGGAATCACGAACGACGTTGAAAAAATTTGGTTTATCGCCATCGCGAAAAAAATAAATTTTACGCTCTGACTTTTGTTGAAATAGGGCTTACTCCCTGCACACCCTCTAATCTGGGAGTTGAAGGACACGAGGATGAAGTGGCCTTAGTTAGGGGACCACTATACGATGTTATCGTTCGTTACACATCCGCCTCTAGGTGTAACGTCCTAATTGACAGACACGTCACAGCTGACCCTACTAGACTACCATGGTACATTCAATGAAATGGCATTTCGGAAATCTGTTCTCGGGCTATCTGTGATTAGCGACTTCACTGCGACAGGTCAGACTAGTTTTTGGAGTCTTTTTGTCTTAAAAAAGGACTGCTTCGGTTTGCCCATTCGTTCACGAATTACCTATTCGATGTACTTGTACTGCATGAGCATATGTTTCTTTCTAGGATTTAATCTTCTGCAAAAGTCAGAGAAATCTGTAGGACTCTTAGTTAATAGGCACTGAACTCCATTCCACCTATTACCTGCGGAAAAAGCTCCTCGTATATATANNATCACAAACCTTGTAACTCACCTCTAGTTGACCAATGCAGGTGCATGCCACTCAGGCATTGTGTTGACACACTGATGAACAGTACTGCGGAGATGCACAGTTTAATTTCGCTTGTCTTCAGCGGCAGACCAACCGCCCAAGTGCAAGATCTTATCTAGTTACTTCTTCCAGCTGACTTGTACTTCATATGTGATTATACTATTTCTCACGTTTGACTGACGGACCGATTTCAACTCTGAGAATCCTGGTGCTTGCAGTCACGTGACTTTTCTCGCATTTTTATTCATTCACTTTAAAGCACATTTACAAGTGGATCCTAAATTACCGTTCTGAAGAAAATCCTGACCAAGGACGTAGAACTCTTTGATTCTTGAAAGTATCCATATACTTAGTTTGCGCCAGCGGATATTAGAGCGTTTCTTTTATCTTCTTGTCTTCTTTGCTTCCTTATATTTAGTGCCGAACAAAGAGCTAATGATACATCCAGAGGAAAACTTGGAAATCAAGTACGTTTCTCATTGTGTGTAACTCAAACGTCCTCCTTGTATTGCTTTCTAATCGTTTTAACGTGGATTGTGAAACAGCTGTATTCCCGCTTCTTTTCTACCGCTCTTCTTACACTACCATTAGTCGTGGTGTTCCACCATACACTGAGACCTATAAGCGGTAAAAGAAGTGCGAATTCACCCGGCAGATGTTTCTTCTCCCGAACGCATGCGGTTTAGTTGGGGTCCTTTTCTGAAAGTAACAGGGTTGAGAGATATCAATTATCCTTGTCTTGGTTATCCACGCTAATGTGCTCTGACTGTTCGTCTGTAATCCGATAATCGTCGGTAGTTACCGACAAAATTGCTCAACACTCATTGTGGTTGTTAGTTATGTTGCAAGGACAACTCAGCTACATGGACTAGTCCTAAATGTAATTAATTCAATTAGTTAATTTCAAATTGTTTTGTTCACTGGAACTTGCTATGTGATCGGTTGAGTAGTGACCGAACTCTTGCTTAATCTTTTGTGCTCCAAGTATGGTGATTCCGTTGCTGAGGAGAATGTTGGTAGCTCAGGTAACCTCGATGGCCTTTGGTTTGTTTGCTTAGCTAGGGAATTCAGTTGCAACAATTTCATCGCCATCCCAGATGACAAAACCGCGTCGTTATCTATCGGTGCGTTTATGTTTGCCATCTCTAATCAACACTTAATTTGCTTTCTGTAGGTGTAGATCGATCTATTTTCCTAGTTTGTGGTCGTCGCCACATTTATTCCATCTCATCCACTGTACCCAAACCGTCCCATAATCCATCATTTCTTCCCCCATCTGGCGAAAGCAGTATAATCTAGGTTGTTGTTTCGCCACTGCTTCTCACATTCCGTACCCCACAAAGCAATCTGCTTACGCGGATTGAAAGCTGGCACCGACGGTTCCTCGTGTGCACATCATGGCGTGGGGTTTTTCCGATGGTTGACTCTGGTTTTCAGCATCAAATTGATTATATTGAGGTACTGACTAGCTAACACTGTCGTACATGACTTTCTCTGCGTTGAAGTCCTGTCTGCTAGTGGTTCAAACATTCTGGAACTCGTCACATTTGGGTCGCGCGTCTCAGTTCACGTCATTTTCAGTGCTTGTATCCCGTCATCACTTGATTAAAAATGTATACTACTAGTAAGTAGTTTAAAATAAGGTGACATTATAATGCCACTCCCGAAGGATTGTCGAGGACTCGCCTTCACCATTTTCATCAAATCACTCTGGCAGCTTAAGGTGATATACAATTCCTAACGTTGCCGGTACCGTTATTCGGTCATGATTTGCAGTCGTATCATTTTTCAGGAATGCATGCTTCGCACCTGCTTCAACCAAACGGCTAATAATTTGCTGCAATATCTAGCCTAGCAATCCTGTTCTAGGAAACCGAGCTGTGTTGACACAGCCGAATTTAAACTGGTAATAGATCTTCCACGGATTTCGTGTACTTCCTGAATTTATTCAGTTTGCTCTTATCCTGGTATTCACCGACGGCCTCTGCTTACCACTTGCTGCCATGCGGCTAATTGGAAAGTGTACACGAAGACCTCAAGTTAACGGTTTAGCTCACCTGGGGGAAGATGAACGTTGATAAACGGTCTAGTGTAGCAGTGTGTCAGAGGCTAATTTTGGTACTATATTGAGCAACGATGACAGTCATCATGCAGCTTTGTCATTCTAAATTTCTCCTCTGTTGGGTCAAATGGGGTCGGTCTGATAAATTTTCGGATATCAGCCACCCATGGTTGATACCATAGCCTAATTATTCGCAAGTATTTAGGTATTTTTGTTGGCAGTTATCTCTGCTCGCTTTAATGCTGTCTGGATCACGTGCGAATTTGTCGTTCTATCCTGCTGTTCACCCACCAACGAGCCGTAGATCGTGTAGTTTGCCGTATTACATTAAAATATTCAGGACTGCCTCACATGATTCAAAAACCCACTGGTTATCCGACTATAAACGGCATGGCTGGTTATTCTGCTCTGTGTTATCCTTTCGATTGTATCAAATGTCAGCTATGCGTTCTCATGCCCTGTGTGTGAATAAAAAATAAGCGAGTAAAAATTTCCGTCGTCTGTGGTCCAATCCATTGTTTTGCGATTGTGTGAATGTATCCTTTTCATTTTGTACGCCCTTGATCAAGCTACCTGATGCTTGAAGCTTGTGAATCAATGTCGATACTTTGTATTTGCCAGATCGTTGGCTTTGCTGCGTTGCTTGTGGTCATTGGGTTAGCGCAACCGCCACTGCTACTTGCTACTTTATTGTGAAACATTTAAGCCTTCTGGTGCACTCGAGGTGCATGCAATATGAGAGAATACCTACATTTTTCTCACTTTTCTCCTCCACCACACGATTAGGTGATTTGCAAAGGCTGGCTGATACTCGTCAACCCGAACCTGTTTCGTGGAGGAAGTCGCTACTTCTGGTTCGTTCTGACAGCGGAGACGTTGCGCTGGTTCAAAGATGAAGAAGTAAGTTGCGTGAATGTTCTCCAATGTGACTCATTGTAATTCACGACAAAACTTATAGATAGTTTGCCTCATTTCACATGCTTGCTTAACTGCAAAGTTTCACTCATGAGTTGGGGCTAGTTGTCCAGACATTGAATACGTGTTTGCGCTCTCTCCCTTGTGTATGATGTGTGATGACAAGTCGCTTGTATAGGCTTTTAGCGAATAGTGTAGTCGCGTTTTCAGCGCTGCTGTCGGTTCACTAGGGAACGCAGTCCGAGCTCTCCAATCCTAATGACGCACATTGGTTACCTGTTACTTACCTAATGTATTGTAAACCTCTTCGGGGTCCCACTACAGCTTTACATTTCACCTACATATGTGTTACTTACATGTTTCGTTCTCTGAGACCTTCGTTATGTACCGTTTCTCCATCTTCTTGTGCTCAGGAACGTGATGTGAAATACGTGCTTCAGCTCGATGGCCTCAAGCAACGAACTGGTGATACGGGGTTTTTCTCAAAGCGGCAAACTTTTGTTCTGTTCCACTCAGACTCGAAAATGAACGTATACAAAGATTACAAGACATTAGACCTATCTGCGGACACTCAAGAAGCAGTGGATGCCTGGAAGGCCGCACTCCTTCGTGCTGGTGTCTATCCGGAGAAAACGGGAAGGAAGGATGATGACAATATGGTAAGTGTACCTTTTTGTTGTTGTTCATTCAAACAATACATACCAATCTTTTACCAACGTAGTAGGTATAACTACACTAGTTGGGGCATTTCCACTTCCCATTACTACTAGCTGCCATCGCTAGCATGGATTTTTTACAGAAGCGCATTTATTGATAAGTGTTCTCCAGGCTGGCAGCCTTGTTTTCCACATCCACTGTTGATTTTTTCGATTCCCGGAACTCGTCCAATACCGTGCAGGTCCAACTCGATTCCCATGCACTATGTTTCCCACATTTTGTCAGTTATTCTCTTCATCTTGTTGCCTACTGAATTGGTCGTGTTTCCGCTTGGTGATGGTTTGGCGAGGCTCCCTAGATGTCTGAAACTGATGTATAATCCGTTCTTGCTTTTGCTTTTCCGGACTTCTGTCTCCTAATGCAGTTTCTTTGCCATCTGGATCTTTTCGGCTCCCACATCTAGCAGTGAGTTCTGCACGATCCTTGTTATCTTTGGATGGTCCAGAATCTGTTCCCGGACGGATGGATACCATCCGCTTAGCTTTCACCAGCACGTGTTCGTCGATTGTCCTTGTCTGTGTTGTAGAAAACGTGATGTGAATTCCATTCCATTATTTTTTTTAATGTTGTATTTGTGCGACTTTTGTTCAGATAACCGTCCCTTATTCCCTTATTCCAATACTAGTGTTAAATATCCGTACGTGAATGCGACCATACCCAAGTGTGATGTCCGTTTGAGCTATTGTTCCGTTGTCTATTATCGGCGTATTGACCATGCGTCTAGTTCCCTCGCTGGTCTAACTTTTGAGCAATTGCTTTTCTTTTTGTCCCAGTTAAACCTCATTCTTGCTGAATGAGTGTCACATCGTAGTTGATGTTTGCTATCTGAATCATCGAGGCATACACGTGAAGACGGATACCATGTTTGTATGAGAATTTTTTAAGCATATCGGATTAGGTTCTTGAATAAACCATTGTACTGAAGGTGTCTTGTAGCCCGCCTAATCCAAGCATGTGCTTACCAATAGCAATCTTTGGGACACATCAATCATATGTCTCAACAAAATACCCTAACTCAGCTCACTTTGCACCTTCTCGCTGTACCTACTACCTGCGCGTTTCCGCGTACGGGTTTTGGAGCAGTCCTGTGAACGTACTTAGGCGGTTCCGGGACATGCTTCAGGCTGTTTCTATTCAGTGATATATATATATATATATACCATACAGTCCTAAGAGTCTTAGAGAGATTAGGCACTCAGCCGGCACGAGATTTTCACCATCAGAAGCCTCGTTGAGCTCAGTAGATATGATGTGGAGAAATATGGCTTCAGATGTGAGACCAGCCAACAGCCTGGACAATCAAGTCAAGTGGCCTTAAAAGTAAGTACATATGTCTGGATAGTTAGACTGATTGACTGGACAATGCTGCGCACAAGT